AAATAACCATTAACTTTTTAGCCTTAAATTACAAGATTCTGTGGTATGAAGTCATTTTGAGTTTGGTCTTAGAGCAGTTATACTTTGTATATGTCTTTTTTAGATAATTGAATGTGGGTTTCTAATATCTAGAACAGTTTTAACTAATCAAAGTTAAACTGAAAGAACAGATTTTATTGTTTGACACTGTATGACTTTGGAATTTGTGACAGAAAAACTGGTTAAATTTTACTTTCACTTAGCAGACCTCAGTAGTAATGTAAATGAGATTACAGGTCAACTGTTGAACCATTTTCAGTAGTCCATCATAGATTTCCTTACAGATTATGCTCGTGTTTGTTAAATCTAGTTCCCTGTGAATTTCTTAAAAGTGGACAAGCTTTGTTTAGTTCAGAGTACTATACAGAGTTGATGACAGAGGAGAATATTCTGTACTTTAAAAAAAATTAAATCAGAATGTCCTTTTCCTTAATTAATATGAATTATTGTGGGTTTATTACAAGTTAAGAATATGAGCTCTGTAGTCAGACTGCTTGGGTTTGAATCCCATTTCTGTTACTTTCTTTCCCTTTGCCTTAGTTTTCTTATCTACAAAATGGGTCTAATGATAGTACCTGTCTTATATGATTTTTGAGAGGATGATGTATGGTAATAAATACAAAATTCTTTGCTATCATCATTATTAATTACCATAAGAACATTATTTTGTTACTTAAAGTTCTTGAATACTTGTAAATAAAGGATTATTTAAGGGGAAAACTAATTTGTTTCAGAGATCATTGAAGATCCTATTCGAGAGCTGACCGTAGAAGAACATTTGATTGAGAGAAGAAAGAAACTACAGGAGAAGAAACTGCATATTGCAGCCTTGGCATCTGCTATATTATCAGATCCAGAAAGTAATGTAGGTAATATTAATTTCTTTAGGCTCTTTATATTAGGTATGGTATAAATGTATAATATATTAAGAGTCTCTTGTTTCCTATAAGCATGCACTAAAAGGAAAGGCATTAAATAATAGTAGCTGGGTTCGAATAAAAGAGTAGACAGAATCTTAGCTTAATCCTCTGTCTGAACTTAATTTCTTTTGTGATCTTAGAAAAGTCACTGAAACTCTCTTGAGTCTTTTCTTTTTTGAAGACAGATTCTCACTCTGTTGCCCAGGCAAGAGTGCCATGGTGTCAGCCTAGCTCACAATAACCTCAAACTCCTGGCCTGAAGCAATCCTTCTGCCTCAGCCTCCCGAGTAGGTGGGACTACATGCATGCACCACCAGGCCTGGCTAATTTTTTCTATATATTTTTAGTTGTCCAGCTAATTTCTTTCTGTTTTTAGTAGAGACGGGGTCTTCCTCTTGCTCAGGGTGGTCTTGAACTCCTGACCTTGAGCAATCCTCCAGCCTTGGCCTCCCAGAGTGCTAGGATTACAGACGTGAGCCACCACGCCTGGCCTCTTGAGTCTTATTTTCCTCATCTTTCATATGAAGATATGGACTTACTGTTGTAACTCTAAAAGTGGTTAAGTCTATATAAATTAATCGGAGAGGAGGAAACTTCTTGCAGATTTGCTTGACTGACTTATAGAATTTTTTTTTTCTTTTTTTGAGACGGGGTCTTGCTCTGTTGCCCAGGCTAGAGATTAGTGGTGGCTCACGCCTGTAATCCTAGCACTCTGGGAGACCGAGGCAGGCGGATTGTTTGAGCTCAGGAGTTCGAAACCAGCCTGAGCAAGAGCAAGACCCTGTCTCTACTAAAAACAGAAAGAAATTAATCGGACAACTAAAAATATATAGAAAAAATTAGCCAGGGGGCATGGTGGCGCATGCCTGTAGTCCCAGCTACTCGGGAGCTGGGGCAGAAGGATCACTTGAGCCCAGGAGTTTGAGGTTGCTGTGAGCTAGG